GTAAATATTCCACACACCAGGAAAATTACTCCTCAGGGTTTGGACTGTATAGTGGGCTACCTTTCTGGAAGGAATATCCCTACTTCTTCTGGTAAAAGAACCTTCTTTTCTGTGGGAAATCCACTCTAAGTAGTTTGGGTGGGGATTTTACTATCCTTCTCCAGGGTGTGCAGAAGACACTAACCTGGCCAATCAGAATACCTGTGTTCTTGGCCACAGTAATTGGATCAAGGATGGTCATGTGACCTCAAAGCCAGCAAATCAGATCCTTCTATAGGACTTTTCTGTCAAAGTTACTGGGGAAGAAATTTTATTCCTCCTGGATTTGCTAATCTGGTAAAATGTCAGCCTTAGGCTACTGGAAATCAATGAGCTCACCATGAGGAGACCACCAGCCCATGCTATGAAGGGATAAAGCCCTGAAGACATCATGGAAGTCCTAAACCCAGACCTGACTGAAGAAGTCATAGCTTCCAGACTTTTCAGTTACATTGAGTTAAAATATTCCCTTTTACTCCCTCCTGGGAGTATGAGTTGTGTTACTCTCATACAAAACCTTATTAGGGAACTGCTGGCCAAGATGGATGCGTAGGTAGATACACTGTGCCTCCTCCCACAACCAAAAGAAGGACAACAAATTTAAAAACAAAAAACAACCAGAACTGCCAGAAAATCAAACTGTATGGAAGTTTGACAACCAAGGAGTTAAAGAAAACACATTCATCCATACCAGTAGGAGGGGTGGAGATGGGCAGCCAGGGAAGACAGGACTTGTGGCAAGGCAGCAGCTCTTGGAATGGGCAAGGTAGCAGCTGGCAGACTAGGTGGCCCCACATTTGAGTGCCAATAAACCAGAAGGAACTGGGGAGCCAGACAGATGCGCAACTCAGGGTTCCAGCGCAGGGAAATAAAGCCTCAAAACTTCTGACTGAAAAAACCTGTGGGGGTTGTGGTGGTGGGAGAAACTCCCAGCCTCACAGGAGAGTTTGTTGGAGAGACCCACAGGGTCTCACAATGTACACAAATCCACCCACCTGGGAATCAGCACCAGAAGAGCCCAATTTGCTTGTGGGTAGCAGAGAAAGTAACTGAAAGCTTGCTGAGAGCCAAGCAAGCGGCATTGTTCCCTCTTGGGCCCCTTCCCCACACTCAGTGTCAAAATGTAGCGCAGTGGTTTGCCCTGCCCTGGCCAATACTTAATGGTCTGCCCCTTATTACATAACAGGCATGCTGAGACCAAAAAAAAATTATGGCCCAAATAAAAGAACACCTCAAAACTCCAGAAGAAATACTAAGCAACAAAGAGATAGCCAACCTATCAGATGCGAAGTTCAAAACACAGGTAATCAGGATGCTCATAGAAATGGTTGAGCATGGTCACAAAAATGGAGGAAAGAGTGAAGGCTATGTAAAGTGAATTGAAGGAAAATGTACAGGGAATGAACAGTGACAGGAAGGAAACCAGGACCCAAATCAACAGTTTGGACTAGAAGAAAGAAATAAACATTCAACCAGAATAGAATGAAGAAAGAATTCAAAAATATGAGGAGAGGGTTAGGAACCTCTGGGACAACTTTAAACATTCCAACATCAGAATTGCAGGGGTAGGAGGGGAAGAGGAAGAGCAAGAAACTGAAAACTTATTTGAAAAAATAATGAAAGAGAACTTCCCCAATCTAACAAAGGAAATAGACTTCCAGGAAGTCCAGGAAGCTCAGAGAGTCCCAAAGAATTTGGACTCAAGGAAGCACACACCAAAGCACATCATAATTACATTACCCAAGATTAAAGAGGAGAGAATCTTAAAAGCAGCAAGAGAAAAGGAGACAATTACCTCTAAAGGAGTTCCCATCAGACTATCTGCTGATTTCTCAAAAGAAACTTTACAGGCAAGAAGGGGCTGGAAAGAAGTATTCCAAGTCATGAAAGTCAAGGGCCTACATCCAAGATTACTCTATCCAGCAAAGCTATCATTTAGAATGGAAGGACAGACAAAGTGCTTCCCAGAGAAGGTCAAGTTAAAGGAGTTCATCATCACCAAGCCCTTATTATATGAAATGTTAAAGGGACTTATCTAAGGAAAAGAAGATGATCAAAAGCTATGAACAGTAAACTGACAAGAAACTCATAGCTATGAACAACCGAACCTAAAAAAACAAAAACAAACTAAGCAAGCCACTAGAATAGGAACAGAATCACAGAAATGGAGAACACATGGAGGGTTATCAGCAAGGAGGGGGAGACGAGAGGATGAGGGAAAAGTTACAGGGAATAAGAAGCATAAATGGTAGGTACAAAATAAACAGGGGGAGGGTAAGAATAGTATAAGAAATGGAGAATCCCAAGAACTTATATGCATGACCCATGGATATGAACGAAAGGTGGGAATACGGGTGGGAGGGAGGGTTGGGGTGGAGGGGAATAAAAAAGGGAAAATGGGACAGCTGTAATAGCATAATCAATAAATATATTTTAAAAACATCATTAGCATAAGCTATAGTTAACGCCTTCTCCTCATCTTCAAAATTTATCCCACAAACTCAAGGTGCTTGTCAAGGGAGGACTGGGAGCTGAGTGATCTGTACCTCAACAGGATGCTCCTCTTCTATTGAAGCCCCCTCTCCCTGTGGTCATTCGTGTGTGTGCTGACGCATTTTTCCTTGCTGGTATTGTAAATTGTCTTCTACCCTCTTTCTAATGATTTTTGTCTTCATCAGTAATCACAAACACCCTGAAGACAGAAACAGCAAACACTTCCACATCTTCTTTGGTTCCATCAATTTCTGGGCCAAAGTTCTCAAGGGTCTGATATGGAATCTGGTGGTTTAAGGGAATCTGCATGTTTGTGTGTGTTGTAATTGTGTTCTTGGGAGTTATGTAAGAATGAAGGGGGGAGGGATTGCCCCCCCCCAAAAAAAACGTGTATGCTACAGATTAAGGGGAGAGAGAGAGGGAAAGATACCAAAGATCTGAGCAATAGGACTCCTTGAGTTTACAGACTGGGAGGTTCTACTCAGTACTGAAGCTGGATTTGGTTATCATCTATTCAGACTCCACCTTCTGCCAAAAGAGGACCAAGGGAATTTACGTGGTTGCTAAGATACAGACAAGAATGGCATGAATGTGGCCTTTACTTTCTTAATTGTGTGTCCTGCTCTGGCACCTAGCCCACTTGGGGGCCCCAAGATCATACTCTTTCTCTTAAAGGCCCCACAAGCCCACCCACCTGTGGTCCCTACCAACTGACCTGCCCCAAATCTTGACTGGGCTGACTAGCCAAGGGCTTTCTCTGCTGAAGCCACTCTGTAAAGACCAGAGGAGGTGGCTGTGTCTCCAAATGCACAGACACCAATGCAAGGCTGCAAGGATCACTAAAACTCAGGGAAACATGGCGTCACCCCAGGGACACAATAAAGCTGCAGCAACTGACCCTAAATAAATGGACATCTACCAACTGCCTGACAAAGAATTCAAAATAATTTGTCTTAAAAGATGAAAAGGCAAGCTGCAGACAGGTTAATACTCACAACTTATCATCTGATACAAGACTCGCATCCAGAATATGTAAAGAACTCTTACACCTCAATAATAAAAGTAAACAATCAATTTTAAAATTGATAAGACAACTCACAAAGAAGGTATAGAAATGTCCAAAAGCACACTCAAAGATGGCCAGCATCTTTAGCTATCAGGAAAATACAATTAAAACCACCACGAGGCACCACTTCATACCCAACAGAACAGCTAAAAAGAGATGACACCAAGTACTAGAACTCTCATATGCTTTTTAGTGGGAGTGTAAAATAATGCAACCATTTTGGAAAAAAGTTGTCAGTGTCTTGAAAAGTTAAACATAACCCTAGCCATTCAACTAGTAGGCATTTTCCCATGAGAAAAACACACATCTACACATGACTGATACACAAATGATCACAGCAACTTTATTTGTAATCGCTCCAAACTCTGAACAACCTAAACGTCTACCAACAGGTGACTGGATGAACAAATTGCAGTGCATCCGCACAATGGAACCGTACTCAGCAATGAAGGAGAGTGAACTATTGGCATGCACAACTGCATGCATCAGTCTCAAAGACACATGCTGAGTAAATGGAGTCGGACGTGTGTAGCATATATTTCCATGCATATGAAGTTAGAGAACAGGCAAAATTAATCTACAGTGCTAGCAATGGGATCAAAGATTGCCTGGGGCCGAGATGGGAATTGACTGTAAAGGGGCATAGGGGCAAGCGTAACAGAAATGGTCATTTCATAATCAGAGTAGTGATTGTGTGACTAGATGTATTTGTTATGTCACATCAAATTGCGCACTTCAGGTGTATGCATGTGATGGTAGGTAAAGTATTCCTCAATGAATGAAATATTTGTCAGTCAAACAAAGAGTCATGGAGGAGGGTGACGAAGGCTCTGAGCCTGAGTTGCCCCCTCTCTGCTCTCATTTCTTCAAGCAGTGCAGTGCAGGTCCAGCAGACCCAGGTGGAAGGGAGCCTTTGTGTCACAGGCCTAGCCTTGGAAGCAGGGGACAGGCAGTCCAGGCATTACTTGGGACACAGTCCTGAATAGAACCCCAAGAGAAGAGTCATTTCCCAGGGACCTCAGACAAAAGCAGAATCACACCAAGCTCCGAGTTCTCTGCTCCCCACTGGCTTGGGCAAGTTATTCAACTTTGTTGTGCCTCCGTTACCTCATCTGTGAATGTGAACAGCTCCCTGGGTTGTTGTTAAGATTCAATGAACTAACCTTAGCATTGAGAATTGAGCTAGGCAGAGAGGCAAGTACACAGTTGGAGTTGGCTGAGTGGGGCTGGTGGGGTGGCCTAAGGCCGCTGGGCTGGGTGCAGGAGGGAGCAGAGGAGCAGGGGAAGTCCAGCTGCCCTGAGTGTGTGTCTCTTGCTGCCTGTGCCAGAGGTCCTGTGCGTCCTGGGTGTGGGCATTTCCCAGGGCTGTAGGAACAAAATACTACAGACTGGGTCGCTTAAAACAAGAGACATTTATTTTCTCATAGTTGGGGAAGTAGAAGTCCAGAATCAAGGTGTTGCAGAGTCATGCTCCCTCCAAAGCCTCTATACTTCCTTGCCTCTTCCAGCTTCTGGGAGCCTCAGGTGTTCCGTGGCTTACAGCAGAATCACTCCCATCTCTGCCTCCACCTTCACGTGGCTGTCGTCGCTCTGTGGATCTGCTGTGTCCAAAGGCTCCTTTTCATATCAACGCACCTGTCACATTGGACCGGGGCCCGCCTGCTCCAGTATGACCTCGTTTTAACCTGCTTACAGCTGCAAAGAGCCTGTTTCCAAGTTAAGCCACACTCACAGGTGCCAAGGTTGAGGCTTGAGCACATCTTTTGGGGGGCACAGTTCAACCCATAACACTGGGTCTCTGTCCTGCACTGGATGTATCTGTGAGGATGTTCAGCATCCACGTGTGCCCAGGTGTGCCATCACACAGGTCTGTGTGGTGCGTGTGTGGAGCTGCACTTGTGTGTAAACCCATGTACACACTCTGTCTGGATGGACTGCCCACTGGGTTCCCTATGCAAGTTTTGGGTTTATGTAAAACGTGAGAGTTTCTGACTTAATAAGAGTCTGATTTTCTCCCCACTCTGTTCTGAGATTCCTCACCTGTCTGCAGGCCCTCATACTCACAGAATAACCAAGGTTTTCAATGACTCTCCACTAGCAAAAAGAACGATTTGCAGACTGGCATGTTTTTTCCTCTAATGATACACTTACCTCGTCCATTAGCTCACTGTGGAGGGAAAATACAAAGCCCAAAAGGAGGGCTGACTCAGCACATACACACTTGCACCCCCCACCCCCCCCCGCCACACACACACACTCACACACACTCACACACACTCACAAGGCAGCTGTGGTCAGGGTGTGGTTCTTAAAGGCATTAAGGACCCTGGGGATCTTCTTCGCTGACACATCTGCAAGCCTGCCCAGAGCTCCTCATACCACCAGGGGTTTCTGCTCCAGAACTACATATGTATTTAAAGGCACAGACATTAGCATCTCAAAATATTCTTGTAAGATGAAAATCTTTTCATGATAATTCATCCCCCCCAAAAAAAACTACTCTAAAACTGCTGCTAGCTTCTCTGCTGGCAAGTGGGTGCGGGCCTCGACGTAATTGATCAGGGAGCCTAAGCAATAGATCCTCTCTGCCTCTTTTTAGAGAAGCACAGCTTATGAAAGCTGGAAGAAAGTTCTAGACTATTTCATCTTCCTTGCTTTACACAAAAGGAGACTGAGGCCTCAGGTCAGGGATCCCTGTGTCCTTTCTCCTAGTGCAGTATCTTCTCCCACTCCAGCTCTATAGCCTTTGGGGGTGGGGTGGAGAGGAAGGACGGCGGGAAGGGCCACCCACCCCGGCCCTGGGCCCTGGGCCCTGGGCAGGAATAGAAGGAGCCCTGGTCTTGCATGTGTAAGGCACAGCAATTCCCTCTCCAGCTGAAGGTTCCTCTGCAGCCCAGACTTCCCTCCCAGAAAGTCCACCACCACCCTGCTGATCTATTTAATCCAGAGACACTCTTGCCTCTGCGCTTTGATCCTGCAGGTGCCGGCAGTTTTTGTTCTATTATTCACGGCAGGGAGGATGCTGGGCTGTCTCTCCTTATTACAGGCCCTGGCTGGGCTGCCCACTGCCTCCCTAAGGCCACTGGACAACGTCCATCAATAAGTCAGCAGCAGCAACTGGATTTGAGATGCTTTGATGGAAGGGATGTGCACCATTTCGGAATTGGAATTTTCTACAAGCCTCCTTTCTGGAAGAGATTAGGAGAGGAAAGCAGTAAGCATAAAAATTATAGACGTACATGTACAGATGATGCTAAGAGGCATGTCTTTTCTGCCCAGTTGAGTGGCAAGCTTATGAAGTCAGATCCTGCTCTTATACGTGAGTATTCTCTGTAGGGCCCAACACACACGGAGGCATCATGGATATTTAGTTAATGACTGAATGTGTGAGTTAGTGTCTCCTTCCAAGCCTCAAACCTTTCCCTCCAAGGACAGAGGAACAGAAGAACAGAGCTTCCTAGGGCATCTATCTACATGACACTGTGAGATAAATGTGTTTGTTTGTTCACCCACAATCTCCCCACATATATAAGCTCTATGCAGCCACTTCATTTTATTCACAGCTGTCCCTAGCACCTAGCATTGCACCTCACACATAGTAGGTCCTCAACAAACATGTGCAACATATTAATGAACTGGGTGTCAGGGAATCTGAGATCTAATTCCAGCTCGGCCACCAGCTCGCTAAGTGACCTGGCCAGCCACTTCCCCTCTCTGGGTCTCAATTGGCCTCATGTATGACAAGGACTTTGTTCCAGAAGCTCTTCAATGAAGTCACCCAGTCTACACATTCCTTGAAGAACACAGGACATCGGTGTCACCATACGGAGGCCGCATGTGAGCCATCAGGACCCATGTTCTGACCCCTGCCTCCTCTTACCGTGATCTCCACCATGAAGTGTTTCCATAACCTATACAGTACAGGTGTGGTGGGCTTAAGGCTTGCTACATAACCCCACCACACATGCACTGCACAGGGAGAAGATTTAGAAGCCAGAAGAGAAAAATATTCTCAAATGGAAGGCATGACTTCTGCAAAAGTGGGGAGACATTTGTCAGTGCATACCTTCAGCCTTGAAGTTGCTCTCTTCCCACGAAAAACTCAGGCACTAAAAGCCCCTGTGGTTGCACCGGATGACGGCCACCGATGGAGTCCGGAGCTGGGAAGAGCATGAAACAGAGGGTCCGCCCTACAGAAGCCATTCCCCAGCAGCAGCCCTAGAAATGCCAGTGGAATTACACAGGGGCAGAGGCCAGTGACGACTTTCATGACTCATCTTTAGATCTCAGAAGAGAGAAAACATTCCGAAGTGACTTCTTGAGATAAGAACAGGGTACCACCCAAGAAGAACCAGGGCAACTAAGAACCAGGACTTAGGGGAGAACTTAGCACACCCAGCTGATGAGGATGAATTTAAAAGAAACTGTTTGTGCTGTGATTCCTTAATCTGCCTAAGGCACATAATTTGCATTCCACAGTACGGTTCACTCCTCTTTGCTAAATCTTCCATCACTGAGGTTGCCCTTTAGATATTATTATGACTGGGTGGGTCCCCAGTTACCCTTCCACCCTCACCCATGCCTTGCATAGAGCTCTCCTTTCTGAAAGTAGTCCTAGTCTACATATACTATGCCTTTGTGGGATGGGCACAGGGTAGGTGATACCCCTTGTTTAGAGACCCTGATGGTGGAATTTGTGGGCAGTACCGGATCAGTTCTTACTGCTAAGTTTCCACTCCCCTGTCGCCTCCTCCCCCTACCCTGAGCAGCTAAGCCATTTGGCTTGCACTAAGTCCCTTGCTCAAGGTCAGGGAACAGCCAAGGCCAGGAGGAGGGGGCGGTGGTTCCCAGAACTGCTATCACCTGACATTTACTTTAACAGTCTGTTGACTCCCAAACAATACAATACATGCCGATGTTCAGGGTACCTTCCGTCCAGTTTTCCAGTAATCCGTTTCCATCAAACAAACACGCAGGGCTCCCCTGGCCCTGTGCGGACCTGGAAAAACACAGCGCTTGGCTAGGCTCCCAGGGTTAGGTTTGCCAGTCCCCTCCCGGTCAGCGCCGGAGGGCCGCTGGGTGGAAGCGGCCGCGCCATGGCGCTCAACTTCCACGAGAGGGCAGCAGCGGGCCGCAGAAGCCCCGACCGCGCCCGGCTCCCCCGCCTCCCCGCCCCGGCAGGCACCGCCTGCGCCTGCGCAGATCCGGCGGCCCCGGGCCGGGAGCCCCAGCCCGCTCTTCCGGCGGCGTGGACGGCGGGGGTTGCTGTGGGCCTCCTGCCCGGAGCGGTGGTGCTGCTGTCCCCGGAGGGAACAATGGGCGGATTTCAGTCGTCCGGGCCGGGCGGTCTTCCTCTGAGGCCCCAAAGACGCGATAAGAACCCTGAGCTGCGGTTGTGACCGGAGTTTTGGGAAGGATTCCCGGCCGGCTGGGAGGCCACGGAGCGGGCCGGGCTGCCCTCGCCTTGAATCCCTGGGGGATTCCTGAGCCGCCAGAGCCCCTCCTCTGGGCCACCCTTTGTCCTTCGGGAGCCTCTTTGAGCAAGGTCGCCTTGACCTTTCAGAAATCGAATTGACTGGGGCATGGGGACTCCTGACAAGATCCAGTTTACAGAGAGCCCCGCTAGGGGGCTGGGGTCTATGGGCTCCCGCTGCTCAAACGGGGTCAAGGTCAGAGCAGGCAACCACTTCAGGGATCAGTTAGGCACTGCTGAGAAAACAGGGAAAGTACATTGACCAGGGTCGCGGATTTGCCAGCAGGAGCACATCAGACCTTGTCAGTGGCAACTCCGGACCCTTTAATGGCTTTCTTCCCTAGATCGGGGGAGAAAGAACTCTTGAAACAGGCTGGGACCTGCCAGCATTTTATCTGCCCCCGCTCACTGCCCAACATGCCCATCTCTCTGCTCTGGCTCTTCTCTATCTCCTGGCTTTGTATGTTTGGTTCCATGATCCCAGACAGCTCCAGCCCCAACCCCTGCCGGTAACTCTTGCTGACTTAAGTCTTGGCTTACACACTATTTCCCCTGGAAAACTTGGCCAGGCCTTCCCTGTGCCCCTGACTAGACCTCTACCCAACCGGGTGTTCCAGGTAGCCCACGCAGAACCTATCTGCTTGTTGACCCCTCTGGTCACCTCCACCCCAGTTCCCCTCCGCTCCCCAGACTATGAAAGACCACACTAGGTCCTGGTTAATATTATGTCCCCAGTATCTAAACCAATCCTGGGCCCACATAGACACTCCACACATATGTGATGAATGAATGAATGGGTCAAAGCCAGCCCATCTAGGCTCTAATTTCTGGGCCTTTGTACTTTCCACCATATTGTGCGCTAGCCCTTTGTAAGCAGAGTCGTGGCATAGAAGAGCCTAAGCTATGCAGCAGAAGTGGGGAAACCAAGTCTCAGAATGAGAGCCAATTCTTAGAGAAGACGATGTGCCTTGTTTCTACAGCAGGGATGTTCTCCTTGGGTCTGCAATCTGAGTGATAATTTCTAACTTCGGTTATTCTAATTATTCTACTGAGAGAAAAAACGGATTTCAAACTGCATTCCCAGAATTTAACAGAAGTGTTTGAGGGGCTCCGTGTGCCTACTTCCATCAGAGCAGCACTGTTTTTATTTTTTATTTAGGTTATTTCTTGTGAAAAAAAGGAGCCAACTTTCTATTAATGCTTTAAGAATGTTTTGAAGTCTGCAGTGCCAAAGGATTGTAGAGTAGAGCAGCTGAAGAGCTGCGAACAGTCGTTAACAGCTAATCATTTCAGAGGGCTTTAGCCTACCTTCCCACTGAGGCACATCTCACGACCCGCCAACATTCTGAGCCTTTCTCCCTCCTTTCGTGCGGAGTCTGTTGTTGCCCATCGTTTCCTCTTCCCCACAGCGGGAGTCTGATGTTTAATGAATACAGTAAAAAAATGAGAGGTATTTTTTTCAGAATTTGTCACATTTACAGGAAAAGTTGCTATGTTACTTCTTAATTGAAGGAGGGGGAGAGTTTTGTGTTTCTCTGTTAAAAACACTTTTTGATTGGGGCTCTAGATTGTTTTTCTCCTAAGTGGTCCCCCTCCAAATCTACTCAGGTCCTATCTCCTGGAACTTGTGAATATGTTACCTTACAGAGCAAGAGGAACTTTACAGATGTGATTCTGTTAAGGATTTTAAAGTAAAGAAAGTATCCTGGATGATCCATGCAGGCCCAATGTAATTGGAAAGGTTCTTCCAAGTGGGAGGTAACAGGGTCAGGGTCAGAGAGAGAGATGCGGCAATGGAAGCGGAGACTGGAGTGATGCAGTATGAGAAGGATTCAGCAGAACACTGGTGGCTTTGGAAATGGAAGGGGTCGTAAGCCAAGGCATGTAAGTATCCTCCTAAAGGTAGAAAAGGTAAGGAAACATTCTCCCCTAGAGCCTCCAGAGGGAACACAGTTCTGCAGATTTCTTGATTTTAACCCAGGGGGACACACGGGGGACTCCAGGCTTTCAGAACTGTCAGATGATAAATTTGTGTTATGCTAAGGTACTAAGTTTGTGGTATTCCCAAATGGTGTGTACAGATGTAAAAGTTGAACTGCAAAAGAGACCGATGGGAGAACAAATTGGTTCATTGAAATATGGTGTTTGGGCAGAGCTCTCCGGATACCCTGGACCCCCAGGAAGACCGATAAGTAGGTCCTAGAGCACATTAATCCTGAATCATCCCTGGAGACAAAAAAATGACAAAGCTGACGTGTTCTATGTCGGGCACACCATGAGAATGCAGGGCTCTTTGAAAAAGATAATAATGCTGAGAAGAACAGAAGGCGGCGGGAAAAGAGGAAGACCAAATATGAGATGGCTTGGTTCCACAGAAGAAGCCACAGGCGTGAGTCTGCAGGAGCTGAGCAGGGCTGTCTGCAGGATGCTGTGGGAGCCACTCACATGTCTCCTCCAGGCGTCAGAACTGACTCAACAGTATTAACACACTCACACATGTTTGTGGTAATTTGTTACAGCAGTACTAGGAAATGCATACACCACCCCAGGAAAAATAATCCCTGCCGTAGACACACAGTAATGGAAAGGAAGGGATAAGATGAAGAAGGGAGACAATTCAGCTAAAACTACTAAAAAGAGAAGCTCCTGCAGTAGGAGTAGGAACGTTAGAAGTTACCCAGATAGATAGATAGACAGATTTATATTCTGTGTTATTCCAAAGAGTATAACTGGCACCACAGGGACAGATTTGTGTAGCACCTTCATGCGCTGTGTCTTATGTTTGAACTATTTGTATAGTCTTTTATTTCTCCTGCTAGCCTGAAGGATTCCATGATGGCATTCATCTTCATATCCCCGTCCTTTCCAGGGCTCTGTGTAACACCACCATGCATTTCCAGGACATGTCATACTTCCCAAAACCCTTGTATAGCTATTATCCATTCTGAGCCTCACCACAACTCCTGGGGGATTCAGGCAAGACCAGTAGTAGTATTACTAACACATTTCACAGGAGACTAGCACACAAATTTCTCTGACACCCAGGCCTTTCTCTCCATCATATTGCACTGATTTTACCTGCAGAGTGAATGTTAGACCACATATGAGGAAGCCGAGGCACTGCCCAGCATCCCAAGACTGGGCTCTGGCGGTTCAGAGCTACTGTGTGGATGTCTGTGTTCTCCCCTCTGAACACAGGAGGAAGTCATTTTGCCCAACTGGCAGTAGAGGAAAAACTTCACAACAGTGAACCCCATTCTGCTTCTCAAGGCTGTCAATCCGTGTGGACTGGAAGAAGCAAAGAGAGTCACCTCTGGTTCTGGGCCGGGGTGTAGGCCAGGCTGCCTGTCAGTAGTCCCCAGTCTAAGCCCCTTCCTGGGCAACCACAGCTGTCCCAGGGAAGGGTTGCTGTGCAGGTGGGGGGGAAGGATGCCAGTGCCTCCCACCTTGACTGACCTGAGAGCAAGTCAGAAGAGAAGGGTATCTATCACTGTTTCTCATTTAAAAAAATTCTTCGGGGTGCATTTTCATTCTCACTTATTCAGGCAGCACAGTCACTGGAGTTAGAGACAGTTGCAGGTCATAGGTTTCCACTTATATGGGGTGTAACCTTGGCCGTCACTCAGCCTGGATGAGATCCCACTTCATCTGCAGAATGTGGATAACACCTACCCTGCAAATCGTTGGGAAGATAAAAATAATATATGTAAACTACATGGGAAATACACTCAAATGATAGCTATATTTATAGTCGAGAAAACAGAGAGCTGGACTGGATTTCCCAGAATTGGACAGCTGGTAACTGGTGGAACCAAGACCCCATCCTCAACCCAAGTCTTGAGTTTCTCATCCAATTGCCCCCACCCAGAACCCGCTGGAAGCTGCAGGGTGCACAACTACACACATCTGGAAAGCCGCCCGGCTGGAGCCCTGAGGGGCGCGCCCCTACCCAAAACCTCTGCAGTAGGGACTGGCGGGCGGCTGCGTTCGGCTCCTCCCTCCAGCTGCCGCTCTAACCTCCGCCCGGGCGCAGAGAGGCACTGAGCCGGCCGTCAGGGCGGACCCCTGGCGGCACCAGACGCAGTGTCGCTGAAGAAGCTCCGTGTGCGCATCCACGTGGGGTGCAGGCTCTTCCAGCTGGGGCGGCTAGGGGCTGGCGGCGGGGAGCTCTGGAAGCCCCGGGCGCATGCACGTCTGCAAAGCTTTCAGCAAAGCCCTCGCTTCGCAAGCGTTAAAGATCGGCCCGAAGGCCGGGCAGGAGGAGCCAGTGCGGGGCCGGGAGGCGTCAGGAGAGGGGCTTGGCGCGCTGCTCTGGCCCGCCCTGGCCCACGGCCCGCAGGGTTCAGACGGGGCCGAGGCAGCCAAACCCTGCGGCTCGCGCCAGGGGCCGGAGCCAAGGCTGACGCGGGGTGCTGAATAATGTTGGGACGAACCGGCGCGGCCCCCAGGGCCCCGCGAAGACGCGCTGGAGGGACGGGCGGGCCTCCCTGGGCCACTCGGCAAGCGGTCTGCAACGGGTTCCCCGGCCGGCCACCGCGGCGCCTGCACTTGAGGGCGGAAAACGTGGGCTTCCTCCCCGACTCACACCTCGGGGTTCCACGGGCCAGAGTGGATGGCGTTAGAAAATCCTGTCCTTCCCCGAAACAATCCACATGCGGGGCTCATGCCTGCGCCTAAGTCAGGAGGTGGAGGAGCGGAACTTCCTGAGAGTGGACACCTGTTTTAGAAGATAAGCACGGGGAACTCAAACACTCCCCCGTGCAGAGCCCTGAAAGGGGCCTTTCACTCGATCCTGACTTATTCCCCTTACTGTGATTAATGAGATTGCCAATCACAAAGAGCTTTGCATTTTACTGCTCTCTCTCAACCCATCACTCCTTTATCCTGACAGCAACCCCCGGGAAAGTGGACAGGGCTGGTACCTGTTCATTTTAAGGGTGAGAAAACCCCCCGGGGAGGGGGGTGGCTGAGGTTCTATGCTGGTCTGCCTAGCTAGACTCTGCCAACAGGAGATGAAGTCCCTCCCCTCTCCGCAGGAGGCCAAGTTCTCACCCTCCAGCCTTCCAGGAGAGGAATGACCTCTATTTCTTTGAAAATTAGTGGCTGCCCAGCCACTGCTACCTGGAGAGGTGGTGATAGCTAGCAACAAGAGAGCAGGTTCTCCTTATTACAGGAAAAACTGTGGCCTCCTCAAGCGTGTCCCTTCCAGTTGGAAGGAAGGGACTGAGCCTTGCCCCACAGCAGTGACTCTCATATCTTGCCCCAGACAGAAGGAAGGAACATCAGCTGAAAACGTGTTAGCTGTGCACACTATCTGCTCACCCTGGACCTTCTGAAACGGACTCTCTGGAGGTAGAGCTCAGCAACTTTTGTTCTGAGGCGCCCTCCAGCTGATTCTGTGATGCTAGCTAAAGTTTTGAGAAGCCCTGCCCTAGAAAAGCCTCTGTTTAGGCTAGAGGTGGGCCCGGCATCAAAAAGGCAGACTGCCACACACTACTCAGGAGGCCTGAGAAGGCAAGATATAAGCTGGGAAGACCAGGGGTTAGCAGCAGTGTGATAGGTCCATTCTTCAGTCTTTGTTAAGTGTTTATGCATGTGTGTGCAAACCTCTGGGGCCCCATAAAACCGGGGAAAGTGATGGAGACTTTTAGGGCCCCATTTAATATCGCACTTACACACCCACTTGACTCTCAAACACTCTCTACTTGTACCTGCTGTGGACCAGCCCCTCAACCTGCTAAGGATGGTCTGGATGCAAGATGACTCTTTGAGTTGAAAGAAACAGATGTAGCCCTGACTGGTATGGCTCAGTGGGCTGAGTGCTGGCCTGCGAACCAAAGGGTCACTTGTTCTATTCCCAGTCAGGGTACATGCCTGGGTTGCAGGCCAGGTCCCCAGTAGGGGGCACATGAGGGGCAACCACACATTGATGTTTCCTTCCTTCTCTTTCTCCCTCCCTCCCCTCTGTAAAAATAAATAAATAAGTTTTAAAAAGAAACAGATGCAACCAGATCTTAATTGTTAGGTCTGAGATAATGCATGGAGCAGATGCCACTGTGTGCTTCTCCCTGGCTAACAGAAACCTGACACTGACTGGGTTAAAGGATAGAGCCCATGGGAGGCTGCCTCCTCCATGCTGGCCCCACGATTGATTAAGGAATGAGCATCAGGTGTGATTCTGACCAATGAGACGAAGGTAGTTGATGGAGAATTTCCCTCCTTCTTTAAAAGGGTCACAAGGAAACTACTTTTCCCTTTTTTCTCTGGATATCATTTCCAGCAATTGCAACAGTCTTTCTAGACAATGGAAGAAATTGAGCTAAAAAGACAAGCAGCATATGGAGGGTGACAGGGGACAAAGTCAGCAAACACTTGGGATCTCAATGACATTATCGAGGCACTA